GCCACTGCACCCCAGTCTGGGCGACAGAGTGAGACTCCAACTCAAAAAAAAATAAAAAAAGAAGCCAATTTACTAAAAAAAGGCAATGTTGGAAAATTCTGGCTACACTGTAAGAGCTGTATAAATGTTAGGAGATATGCTGTACGTATGAAAACAAGCATTTATATATATATAGATGCCTAAGTATTACATATTATATGTTTGTATTATATGTGGTTATGTACTATATATATACATGCATTTAAACTTGAACACAGTGAATTTATATGCAACTTGTATATACGTATGCACGTGTGTATAGGACAGTGAGATGGAATGTATGTCTGTCTTAGGGAATAAGTGAAATAGATTTTTACATATCTTAAACCTATAAGAACATTGTTTTTCTAATAAGTAAATAAGTGAGTCATTGAATTTTGTAGTTGGATGACACGTAAAGGATTATCTAGGCAAGCCATTCTCCAATTTTCTAATGAACCATGTAAACCCAACCCACATGAAGTAACTTCGTTTAGTATCCCAGAGTTGGGAACTAAAACTGAACTGCGGGACCTCTCACATAACTTGTAACATATACTTAGTGGAGTTTTAAGAGGAGAGTAAGGTGTTCAGCATTTCCCAAACTTGTTTGACTTTGAAAACCTTTTGGTCGTAGAGTACTCAATTAACATTTTGTTGGACACTAGTGTTCCACAGAATTCAGTTTGGGAAATACTATTTTTAAACCATATTTGAAATGTTGTCACATTTTAAAATAAATTGTAACACTAAGTTCTGATTCTGTATGCACTCCCTTCAATCTTTAATACTCAAAAGAATTAGGTCTTTTTGTCTTAGGGAAATAGAGCAATGAGTTTCAATAGAGGAAGTTGTGAGAGACGTACTCAGGGGAATATCGAATATGAAGAATGGGAGCCTGGATTTCTTTATACTTCACTTTGCTCCTTGCACGCTCCCTTCTCTGGAGACGTTCTGGAATGAGAGTTGTTACTAATGGGAGGGTGGTAGAGGCAGGCAAACATTGAGCCAGCTTCTAGGGTCATCAGTTTCTTTTAGTTTCTTTAGCTATGAAGAGGTCTAAACATTGCCTTGGAGGTATGCAGATCTTAAGCAAAGATTGGAAATAAAAGAAACATGAGACAAAAAAATAAAAGGATGACAGACAGTGATAAATGAAAAGAAATATGTATCGTGGGAAGCAGCAGAATGTTGAAATAGCATATAGGTTGCAACCTTATTGTAAATCAACTACCACTTGTCTTGACAAAGTGATATGCCTCTGCCTAAGGTAGATTTGGAAGCAGAATTTAGAAATTCCTTTCCATCTATTATTAGATTTATGGCTCAAGCTTTATTCTACTGTCATGACACATATATGATGTATATGGTTATGTATGTATTATATATGGTGATGGCTGAAATACTGATACTGCTGATATTTAACTTCATCAGTGTAATATGGTTTTTTTTTTTTGAGTTGGAGTCACACTCAGTTGCCCAGGCTGGAGTGCGGTAGTGGCATAATCATGGCTCACTGCAGCCTGAACTTTCTGAACTCTGACGATCCCTCCCAAGTAGTTGGGACTGAAGGCATGTACCACCATGCCCAGCTAATTTTGGGGGTACTTTTTGTAGAGACGAAGTCTCACTGTGTTGCCCAGATTGGTCTCAAACTCCTGGGTACAAGCAGTCCTCCTGCCTTGGCCTCCCAAAGTTCTGGAAATACAGGTTGAGCCACCACACCCAGCCTCAGCATTTTACTTTTATGTTTACAGAATTTGAACCCACCATGTATGTCAAACTTTGTCATTAGATTTGAATTCATGTTTTAATTTGATCCTTTAATTACTGATGGTAGCAATTGTTAGCTTTCTTGTAATGGAACAACAGAATAGATTTTCTACCTTTTCATAGAGAATTTCATCTAAGGAGTATATAAAATAAATGGTTAGCTGTGATGTAATTTAAATTTTTTAAATTTGCAAATCACTGTGTATGTTAAGTAAAACCACTGTCACAAACCAAATAGTTATATTTTGTTTAGACTGTTCTTTGTTATAATGGTGTGTAATTTCTTAAGTGCTCATGAGTAGCAACCTTAGACGTTCTGATTCATTTGCTTAGTCTGCTTACGATTTAGAAATTAAAGTTTTTTTTTCATTCCAATTGTGAAATGGCCCCTCATACATTCTGATAAACTGAGTAATTAACATGTCCAATTTGATATCTAGCGATTCTATATTGAGTAATGGTCAGTAACCTGATATTTATGTTTCTCTCCATTTTTTGTTTTTTTTTTTTTTTTTTTTTTAGTGGTGGGAAAGACAGCTGTTATAATATGATGCAGTGCATTGCTGCTGGGCATCAGATTGTTGCTTTGGCAAACCTAAGACCAGCTGAAAACCAAGGTAAGTATATGCCTTTGTTTGGAAGTTGACCGAATGACCGAAACCCCAACTTCATAATTATATTCTATTGTATGCAGTGTAAAAAAGACAAAAAATAAACAAAATATGCATTTAACACCTACTGAATGCTAGGTTCTGCATAGAATTTAGCATCAAATGTTTTAATTTACATATTCTCATAACAGCTCCTAGAGGGAGACATTATTAATTTTAATATACATGGATACTGAAACTCAGGGTTTTATACATTTTTTCCAAAGTACAATAAGTAACGCAAGCTTTCTGAGCTGCAGTTTGAACCCTCTTACTTCAGAGTACGTTGACCTTCCACCATACCACATTTCCAATTGTTGCAAGCAGTATCGAGATAGACAGGATATAGTTTCATGCCTCAAGTAGCTTGGGAATTAAAACACATATATTGATAAGTGATATATGAACTTTATTAAAAAGATGCAGTTTACCTGTTTTAGATGGAAGCCAAAAATTTGAGACTTGAGAGAAACAAAGCAATACATTTCCACTTTTCATTTGTCTGTGTTCACAAGGGCATTCATCACAGACTTCATTTTGGCTCCTTTTTTCTGTTCAATTTTTTCCCTAATGAAACTTCCCCAATTAGAACTTTTTAAAAAAGAGATTTACTCAACAATTTGCTTTTTATACTCTTGTTATACCTATAAAACAATAGAGAATAACTGCTAAACTGTAAGAAGGAGAAAAAGTTAGCACTTGTCTGACTTTACTGCATCTCATGACTCTTCTAGTAAGACTTTTCTATCATCTCCTTTACTTCTTTCTGAACTCTATGCTTTTGCATTACTATTATCTTAAGATCAAGTGAGTAGTATGTATGAAAACATTAATCATAGTTCCTATTATGAAGTAGGCATTCTGTAAATTTAGTTGAATTGGAATGTAGCACTAAATACTCTCCTTCTTTACTTTCCTCTCCCCCTCCTTCCCTTCCTCCCTCTTTTCCTCCCTTCCTCAAGGCTCCCAGTCTACTATAGTCTTATTTTTATATCAGCTTACTATTGTTTTCTGTTATTTTATCTGTTTTATATCCCTAAATAGATTGATTGGTAGCTTCTTGAGAGAAGAGATCATATCTTATATCTTCCTTTAATAGCTCCTTAGCACTTGGGACAGCTTTGTACCTCTGGTAGGAGTTCATACAAAGTTTATCAGTGGACAGATGTATAGTGGACTAATTTGAATTAGCCCTGGAATCATGAGCACTTATTTCAGCCAGATATTTGAATTTCCTTTCCTTCTGTGATTAAGGCCCAAGTAATGCTGGGAATGATGTAGAAAGATAGAGTTTAGAAATATTTTATGGGAAGAAATAGAGCAGGTCTTGTAGAGTGTCAGGGATAAATGCATATGCTAGGATTTTGTGCTGCTCTTCTGATGATGAGTAATAGTTAGTTTTTTAGAAGTGAGGCTTTTTAAAAAAGATTTTCTAGTTCTGACTTTAAGAAAGGGAAAACTCTGAGCGGGAACTGGCTGTAACGTCTATATTATGAAAAAAAAGAAGCAGATTCTCTTTTCAGGCTTACCACAGAAAAGAAACTTCCTTATCTCTTGTGGCCATTCAAGCAAGTGGGACTTTTAAGCTTTCTATCTTGAGAAGTCTTAGTATTTAAAAAGCAGGAGTTTATGTAATATATAGTACATACATGCTACATTATAATTTTTTCCTGGAGTTTCTATCTTCAGCTTGTCTTCCACATGAATTATTTTACTTACCTTGTACAGAATCATTAATATATAATCATCCTTGTGCTCATGGTTCACCAGTAGGGTGGTAAAATGCCAAACAGATTGTATCTTTAAATTATACCTTTCAGTGAAATGGAGACATTTACTTAGAATATTGTTGTTGAGAAAAAAATTAATAGTAAATGGAATTGGAATATTATGAAGTGCAAATACCTGGGAAAAAAAGCAGCTGAAACTATAATTGTAGAAGAAAATGGCTATGGGTAGGAGTGCTCCGGACAGGAGAGGACTTAGCTAATCTTGTTTTAATATCAGCAGGAAGTTGGGGATTATTGAACGATTCAGTGAGTGACTTCTTTTCCCCTTGAACATGCTGTCAAAGGAACCTCAGTGAGGAATTTCTAGTAGAGATGACTCCAACATAGAGTAAAGTTGATTAAAGAGTGAATTCTCTACACTGGGTTTTCAGTGGGTAGTCTGGGAAGGAATTTATTCTCATCAATGGGGTTAATGTGAACTTGTCATAAAATTCACAAAACCATCTCTTTAAATTTGTACAGGAACTTTTGTGGCATGTTAATTGACGTACTCCAGGCAACAGTGAAGCCTTTTGGTTTTATTTGGTCTCAAACCATTGTTGCTATGTAGCTTCCATTAATAAAAGCTACATTGTGGTTAGGCCTAAATGGAACCTTAAAGGAAAATTATCTTCTAGATTTTTTTAAGTCAGTAAAATGTTTTAATTATTATGCTAACATCAGGATGTTTCTTGCTAAGAAGCCCAGGTTTCTTGAATACATTGATTTGATTGTTAATGATATCCTTTTCAGATAATACATTTAAAGATCAGTTTAACTTTAAGATAAGAGAAGGCTGAAGGGTTTTTAGGTAACTTTGACTATACCTCTACTTCTTACTGGTACCAGCAGTAGACAGAGTTATAATACTAATGTAAATACCGTTCTGAAAAAAGCTATTCTAATGTGTGAGTTCAGAAACTTGATGATCCAAAATGAGATGGTATAGGGCAATGGCTTTGATTGGTAAAGGGGGCACTTACACTATCATTTTTCATTCCTTTTGATAGAATATTTTCACATTCAGTAGAAAGCCTGGACTTGTTTGGCGTATATGTACACGTATACACATAGGTATATGTCAAATAAATTATTTTGAAACTTTTTTTTTAACATAATATATTGTACATTACCTATATCATTAACTATTATTCTATAATAATGCTTCCCATGTGTATTCTTTGGAATACAGATACTCTCATGAAATGTAAGTGCTCTGGACAGACACATCTGAGACAGAGTTCATACTCTTGTCTTTTCGTTGGAGTACCTGAAAGCATATTGCCCTAAGAAAAATTGCAGCAAAAACTCCCACTTAACATTGTTTATCTGCATGTTTTATACACTTGTTTGGCCTGAAATCCTCTTTTCATCCCATACCTATCAATATCTTATGGGATTTGTATTCCACAGAAAATACTTAGAAAATGCTCATCTTAAAAATTATATTAATGGTTGCATAGTATTTTATTATGTGAATGTACTATAATTTCTAATCTATTATGAATGTTGTCATAAATGTCTTTTAAATTACCTTTGTGTATATTTTTCCTTTTCTAAAAAGAAAAGCTATGAGATCAAATAATCTTAATATATTTTTAAGTTCATTTATATTATCAAAAGATCTGATGTGATTTATCTGTTTTGAATATTTTACCCATATTGATGCTTGTGAAATAGTGTGATACCAGTGATTTTTGTTTTGCGTGTTATCATGTTTCTGTACTTGTAAATGCTCAAAATATACTCACTTTATATGTTTTGTTGAAGTACTGAATATAATGTACCAAAAGTGCCTACATCTTTTTCTTACAAATATTTGCCATTCATTAACTAAGTAGATACTTAATTAAGAAAGGTTTTTTTTTTCCTGTGAGGCTAGATGACCTCTTGAAAACTGTGAATGATTTGAGAAAATGTTTTTGTAATAAAAATCTATAATTGGATAAACTGATCAAAATTTATTGGATACATTACTCTTTAAATTTTTTGCTGTTATGGTTTTTAAAATGTATGTATAATTGTATTTGTAATTATCAGTAGAGATTATTAGAGCTGATATGAACTAGATGTAGCTTTGGATAAATGTCAACTCTCTTATTTTTTTTTAACTACATAAATGCAGAGAAATATAGTGCAGTAAGCTTTTAAGTTCTATATTGACCATTATTCAAGCAGTAAAACTTTGATGGACTTTCAAATTTACTTTCTTTTTTACTCTATTTTACTGATTATTTCTAATTTAATTGTTACAGTGAATTCTGATGAATTGGATAGCTATATGTATCAGACAGTGGGTCATCATGCCATTGACTTATATGCAGAAGCGATGGCTCTTCCTCTCTATCGCCGAACCATAAGAGGAATGAGCTTGGATACAGGACGAGAGTACACCGAGTGTGAAGGTGATGAGGTCGAAGATCTCTATGAGCTTCTGAAACTTGTTAAGGTATGCAGTAAAACCAATTATATTTATGCATTTACTGAATCACTTATAATAAATAATATACAATTACTAGTAGCTCACCTATTTTTTAAAAGGATATTTTGTCTTTTTTGGGGGTAGGAAAAAACACCCAAATGGTTTGTAAGCCCTTATATTAAATGGTTTTTAAAAGTAAGATTTTTAATGTAGTTTGGCATCCAGGGTTATCAAATGATATTTAAGCTATGTTTTCTTTTGCTTAGAATATTGGAACCAATGACCGTTCAATTATTATTATTATTATTATTTTTTGAGTTGGAGTCTCACTCTGTCACCCAGACTGGAGTGCAGTGGCCGCTCCCGGCCACCGCAGCCTCGACCTGCTGGGCTCTGGCGATACTTCCACCTCAACCTTCCAAGTAGCTGGAATTACAGGCATGCGCTACCACGCCTGGCTGATTTTTTGGTTTTATTGTAGAGATGAGGTCTCGCTGCCCAGGCGGGTCTCGAACCCGTAGGCTCAGGCAGTCCACTCACCTCAGCCTCCCAAAGGCACGGGATTACAGGCTGAGCCACCGAGCCCGGCTTCAGTTATTTTTTTGACAAATAATTTGGAATGCCTGCTTTGTGGTTGGCATATAATGCTAGGTACCAAGGATGGGGCAGAGAACAAATCAGACAAAGGCCTGTTCTAATGACACTTGCTTTCTAGTGGAAAAAGACAGACAATAAACAAATAAATAGCATACTTGATGGTGAAGAGTACTGTGAGGAGGAGTACAGCAGAGTTAAGGTAATAGCACATAATGGCAGAGGTGGCCATGGATGTGGTTCTATGTATAGTGGTCAAGTAAGACCTTTTTTTGATTAGGTGAAGATTAAGTAGCCCTAAAGAAAGTGAAAGACTGAACCTTGCTTGAATCTGGGGGAAGAGATATGAATTAAATATGTAAGTCACTGTCTGGCAGCCATTGTTCACTCGTTGTTAATTTCTTTTTTTTTTTTTAATTTCAGTAGCCTTAGGGGATACAAATAGTTTTTGGTGCCATGGTTGTATTGTATAGTAGTAATGAAATGTAGGCTTTAGGTGTACCCACTACTCCTACCTGTGCACATTATGCCCAGTAGGTGATTTTTTGTCCCTTCACCCCGTCCTTCCCTCCCCTTTCTGAGTCTCCAATGTCCATTATTGCATTCTATATGCCTTTGCAGATCCTTAGTTGAGCTCCTGCTTATAAGTGAGAACATGCAGTGTTTGATTTTCTATTACTATGTTAGTTCACTTAGAATGCTGTTTCCCAATTCCATCCAAGTTGCTGTGGAAGACATTTCATTCTTTTTGATGGTCAGATAATATTCTATAATGTATGTATACCATATTTACATAATCTACTAATCAGTTGATGGACATTTAGAGTGATTCCACATCTTTGCAATTGGAATTGTGCTGCAATGAACATGCAAGTGCAGGTGTCTTTTTAAATTTACTGTTCTCTTTTCCTTTGTAAATGCCTCGTAGTGAGATTGCTGAATCAAATGGGAGGCCAACTTTTAGTTTTTTGAGAACTCTCCAGCCGACTTCCATACAGGTTGTTCTAATTTACTCTCCAATTAATTTCTCTAAACAGAAAATGTAAGAGAGGAGGTGTGGGGCTTATATATCTAATAGGTACTATACTCAGCAAATATTAATTAATAAAGATGATTTTCTGTTGAGCAATTATCTTTTTGTTCTTACTGATGCCAACTATTTGAAAAATATTCAATATTCTTCCTCTTTAATAGATGAATTTTTATCTAGTCAGCTGCAGTCAATTCATATAAGGCGTATCTGATAAAATAGGGAATTTAAGCTATTTTATTTTCTCTCTTTAGAGAAGTTCTACCTTTTCAGAAGCTCTGTCATGAACCTGTGTCATGAAAATTTCCTAGTCTCAAGTAGTTACTTAAATGCTATTCTTGAAATTTGGTTTTTGTTTGTTTCTTGAGTTGGGGTCTCATTCTGTTGCCCAGACTGGAGTGCAGTGGCATGATCACAGCTCACTGCAGCTTTGAACTCATGGGCTGAAATGATTCTCCCACCTCAACTTTCCAAGTAGATAGGACTACAGGCATACACCACTATGTCTGGCTAATTTTTTACAAAGTTTTTTGTAGAGACAGGGTTTTGTTATGTTGCCCAGCTAGGTCTTGAAACTCCTGGGCACAAGCAATCTTCGCACCTTGGCCTCCCAACGTGCTGGGATTACAAGTGTGAGCTACCATGGCTGGCTGTTATACTTTAAATTTGATACAGATCAAAGCTTAGTACTAATTTAGGATTTTGATTTGAAAAAAACATATGAAACATTGAAATTATTTTAAAATGATGTGCTGGATTAAAATAATTCTTGTTTTATATGTCAGAGTATTTAAATTTTTATTTTAAAAAGAAACTGATAGAAAAAGCCCATAGTTTCATCATTTATTGTTTAATTATGGGTAGCATAAGAAGCAGGTACTGGTCAGGCATGGTGGGTCATTCCTGTAATCCCAGTACTTTGGGAGGTGGAGGCAAGAGGATTGCATGAGCCCAGGGATTCAAGACCAGCCAGGGCAACTTGGTGAGACCTCACCTCACAATAAATAAAAACAATTAACTGGGCATGGTAGCACATGTATGTAGTCCCAGCTACTTGGAGGGCTGAGGTGGAAGGATCGCCTGAGCCCAGCAAGTGAAGGTTGTGGTGGCCGTGATTGTGCCACTGCACTCTAGTCTGAGCAACAGAGTGAGACTCTGACTCAAAAAAAAAAAAAAAAAAAAAGTTGATGCTTTTGAAAGGAAATTACAGGGATCTGTTTTTTTCCTTCTGGAAAGATATATGCTAATAATATTTTGATTATCAAAGTGGAGGGCTTAGAATAATTCCACTTTTAATGACTGTCCCTCCATAAGGGTGCAGTTATGATCTTAATAGTGTTCACTTTGAAGTGTGAAATACTGAGTGCAAATTCTGCATTTTCAAAATGTCTTTTTCAGAGTACAAAGAATTTGGACATTAAGGTTTTAATATAAACCCATATTATAAAATGGTTGGACTCACACTAGAAGTAATTGAGTTGCTTAAAAATCACAAATTTGATTACTTTGGTGAAGCTCTGTGATAATAACAACCCTCCAAGAAAAGGAAAGATAATCAATTACTAATCAATTTAATTAAAAATGGTCAGATTAGTAGTAATTAAGATGAAATTTTCCTTTAGATCCATGCTGTCTTTGGAGAAAGGGATGCTTTGTCATTATCTTTATAGTAACCATCAGTTATGACATAAATTAATGCTAATGTTAAGTCTTGACAACTTCTGCTTTCGAAGTTCGTACATGATAATTATAACTATAGTTGAAAGAGATGTTATCGAGTTGTCTGGTACTAAATAGTTTCTTCTTTCCCTCTGTAGAAATATTAATTTTACTATAGGATATTTTAAGAACATAAATATGAGAAATATATTACTTTTATGGAAGAGATTGTATAACTAGGCTTTTATAGTTAAATCCATTTATGAAACACTGATACAAAGATTCCAATAGAGGTCTTACATATTCTAATGAATTATTGAGTAATTATGGAAAAAAGTAAATCTAGAAAAACTATAATCTTTCAAGATAGTATTTACTTTTTCTTAAAAAAGAAGATAGAACTGCATTTTTAAATATTTGAATATTAATAAGTATTGAAAGCATTTAGATTTATTTTCATTTTACACATTTATTTATAACAGGTTGCAGTTTTGTGGCTTTTACATTTAAGTCAATCTTTTGTTTTTGTAACTTTCTTTTTGTCCCTGAAATATTAAAACTAATTTTTAAATAGGAGAAGTCACTTTTTGCACAGAATTCAATTTACTAATCACTGAAAAGAAGTAGGAAAGACTTAGAAGAACTTTTAGAGCTATAAGTATCCTAACTAGTTAGAAGAAGTAATGAAAACTATCGAAATGGAATAAGCCTTTTGTGTCTCATAGGTTAGCAGGTTACTGAGACAGCTAGAGACAGATCTCTTAGGCTGTTTGCAAAATATCTGGTTTTCATGTGACTAATCTTATTGTAGTCTTTAGAATTTATTTGCTATTAAAATACAACTTCATTCTTATCCAGATCACTTTAATAAATACCTGTATTTTTCCTGCAAATATAGTACTTTCTAATTCTTCGTGTTTTTTTAAGTCACATGAACAGTATAATAGTTACTGAAAGATGCATATAAGTACCATATTTCTCTAGAAAACATATTTAAGGATCAGCGTAGTCTTTCTCTACTAGGTTGGAACTACTTTTACTGGGTCTCCTGTCTTCTTATTTCTTTTACTGGGTCTGCTGTCTTCTTATTCCCTGGTTTCAATAGAATCCATCTTTAAGAAGCTGCCTTAGATGGTACTTTCAAATCTTTACATTTTGAAAACATTCCTGTTCTGCCCTCACATTTTATTGATACATTGGTTGAATTTAAAATTTTAGATTGAAAGTCATTTTTCCTTAAATCATTTGAAAGCATTGCTTCATGGTCTTCTAGCCTTTTGCTGATGTTAATTTAATTTTTTTTAACTTTTAATTTTTTTATTTTAAAGATATGGGGTGCAATTCAGGGTTAGGTATACAAATGTTCATTATGCAGGTATCCTTGTTGATGAAGTGCCCCCCCATTCCCTAGGCAGATCCCCACTACTGCCAATCTCGCTTCCCTGTCCCCATCCTGGCAGTTTACCACTACTGCCAATACTTTTTCTTATAGTAGTATGATAATTGTTAAAGTTTCGCTCATGAGTGAGAACATGTGATACTCAGTTCTTTGTTTCTATGAAAGATTACTCACTATTATAGACTCTAAGTCCATCAACGTTGCTGTGAAGTTCATGATTTTGTTCTTCTTTATGGCTATATAATATTCCATCGTGTATATGTACCACATTTAAAAAATCTAGTCCTCTTTTGATGGGCAGTACAGTTGGTTATATGATCTTGCTATTGTGAACAATTCTGCAAT